TCATGTTCACTACATGTTCATGTTCACTACATGTTCATGTTCACTACATGTTCATGTTCACTACGTGTTCATGTTTAATATGTGTTCATGTTTACTACATGTTCATGTTCACTGCGTGTTCATGTTCACTACATGTTCATGTTCACTACATGTTCATGTTCACTACATGTTCATGTTCACTACGTGTTCATGTTTAATATGTGTTCATGTTTACTACATGTTCATGTTCACTACGTGTTCATGTTTAATATGTGTTTCCAGTTTACTACTGCATGTGTTCATGTTCACTGCAATTTCATGTTCACTACATGTTCATGTTTACTATGTGTTCATGTTTACTACATGTTCATGTTCACTACATGTTCATGTTTACTATGTGTTCATGTTCACTACGTGTTCATGTTTACTACATGTTCATGTTCACTACATGTTCATGTTCACTACATGTTCATGTTCACTGCGTGTTCATGTTCACTACATGTTCATGTTCACTACATGTTCATGTTTACTACATGTTCATGTTCACTACATGTTCATGTTCACTACATGTTCATGTTCACTACGTGTTCATGTTTAATATGTGTTCATGTTTACTACATGTTCATGTTCACTGCGTGTTCATGTTCACTACATGTTCATGTTCACTGCGTGTTCATGTTCACTACATGTTCATGTTCACTGCGTGTTCATGTTCACTACGTGTTCATGTTCACTAAATGTTCATGTTCACTACATGTTCATGTTCACTACGTGTTCATGTTTAAAATGTGTCCATGTTTACTACTGCATGTGTTCATGTTCACTGCAATTTCATGTTCACTACATGTTCATGTTTACTATGTGTTCATTTTCACTACATGTTTATGTTTACTACATGTTCACTCTTGTTTATGTTTACTACATGTTCATGTTCACTACATGTTTATGTTTACTACATGTTCATGTTCACTGCATGTTTATGTTTACCAAATGTTCACTGCATGTTTATGTTTACCAAATGTTCACTACATGTTTATGTTTACCACATGTTCACAACATGTTTATGTTTACCACATGTTCACAACATGTTTATGTTTACCAAATGTTCACAACATGTTTATGTTTACCACATGTTCACAACATGTTTATGTTTACCACATGCTCACTGCATGTTTATGTTTACTACATGTTTACTGCATGTTTACACTCTTCCAGCGTTATTAGATTTTGTTTTGTTTTTTTGTCTCAGCAGTAGTGGCTTTAGAATAATTTAGAGTTTATTTCTCTGAACAGAACCAACACTGAGACACAATTGAAGAGACTTGATCAATGACTTGGACTGAAACCCAATCAATGACTTGAATTGAAACACAACCAATGACTTGGTTTAAGACATGACCAATGACTTGANGATGACTTGGACTGAAACACAACCAAAGACTTGGTTTAAGACAAGATCAATGACTTGGACTGAAAACCAATCAATGACTTGGACTGACACCCAATAAATGACTTGAACTGAAACACAAACAATGACTTGAACTGAAAAACAACCAATGACTTGGTTTAAGACATGATCAATGATTTGCACTGAAACCCAGTCAATGACTTGGACTGACACCCAATAAATGACTTGAGCTGAAAAACAAACAATGACTTGAACTGAGACACAACCAATGACTTGGTTTAAGACATGATCAATGATTTGGACTGAAACCCAATCAATAACTTGGACTGAAACCCAACCAATGACTTGGTTAAAGGCATGATCAATGACTTGGACTGAAACCCAATCAATTTCTTGGACTGAAACACAACCAAAGACTTGGTTTAAGACATGATCAATGACTTGGACTGACACCCAATAAATGACTTGA